CCCGCTCAGTGCACGCAACGTTTGTAATGTTTATTTGGCTACATGTATACTATACAAATGGCATTATAAGGATGGACCCCATCATTGCCCTCTCCCCTTTTGTTTTGGGCTTGCATTTTCCCTTGGTGTCTCTCTCTACTACACTTGGATTGTCATGTAGATATAATTTTGATATTTGGTTGTCTGTCTGTAGATATAATGGAGTTGTCCCTGCCAGCAGAGATTAGGTGAAGAAGCCGAGGAGTTAATAAGATGATCTTGTTTGGGTCTACTGTTTTCCAGTAGACAGATTGTAGAAGAATGCTCTTATCTCCCGTGTGACTCTTGTCCAATGTTTCTCACATTTGAAACTCGGGAGGATTTGTAATGTTTGTACGGCTGATCATTGATGTGAGGTTTCTGGATATTCATGTAGGCTTTTGGAATTGTGTTTCAATGGATTGTAATGTACATCATTTTGGTGCTGAAGATTGCTTCTCTTTACTTTTTTTGTTCCCGCTTAGGAAGAAGTTTGCTTTTTAAGAACGAGTTGCTTCATCATGGCTGAACCTGTAATTTGAAAAAGCAACCCTACAAGAACGCGTTTCAAAATATATTTTTTAAAACTACATTTTTTTTTTCAATTATTATTTTTTGATGTTTTTATATTATTTTAACTTTTTAATATTAAAAATAAATTTAATATATTTTCAATTCACGTTTTAAAAAATATTCACTATAAACAAACCTCATATTTTATCTGTGTTGAAGGAACTGGGCCAGGTTTAGAACCTTTTCCCAAATATAGCTGGGATCTGTGCCATTTTGTAGGCTGCATTCCCTTACGGGGCCCAAGATCTTCATTAACGACTGGTAATGAGAGTACAACTTGGTGAAGCCTCGAACTCGGTGTTTCTTATAACGCATCCAGCTTAGAGTGTGTTTGGCATGGAAATGTTGTGGTTTTTTTGTTAAAGGTATAATATTTTTTAAGTATAAATTATATCTTTAAAAACTATAAAAATATGTTTTTTGTCCAAAAAAGCAAAAGCTATTTCATATTAAACACCCTCTAAGTTAAAATTTGAAAACATAGTTGAAACATGTTTTTAAAAATTAATTTTTTTATTAAATTTTTAAATCGAAATATGCATACATTAAAAATAATTTTTAAAATAAAAATATTATTTTTATATATTTCTAAATTAAATATATTTTAAAAATAACAACTACTACGTTGATATACAAATACACAACGTGTAAATATGCTCTTCGGGCAACAACTGTTGGGTTGTCATTGTGGTATTTTTATCATCTAGCGCAGCACAAGATTGACAAGTTCCGGCGGGATTTGGAATGGGACACTGTTGGATAGTTGCTGGGTGACCTCACCGGTTGACTTAGTTTTGCATGTGTTTGCAATGATGGAATGGATCTTGCTAGGGTGTTGAAATCTTGACAGGGATTCTTGCTCGCTGGAAACTTGTCGTGTTCGTACTAGAAACTGAGTTTAACGAGAGTGCCTTCCTGCCTTGCTTTAGTTTTCAGAGATTGTGGCGGCGCGCACGGCCACCAAGCAACTTGTAAATGTCTGCGTAGATGTAGTTGTCATCCCTACCTCCCCGCAGTGAAGGACAGAGAGATGGTCAGTCAAATTATTCATTCAGACAACGAAATCGTAGACCAGTTCGTAAGGATTTAGGAATATAGTTCACGTTCAATGGTGGCTAAACTTTGAGGCTTTATTTCCTCACGGGATTTGAGAGAGATTCCTTTCCAACTGCGTCGACCGGAAATAGTTGAAAATCGCGCTATTCGTTCTTGTTCATCTAGTATCGCATGCTCAAACTTGATGGTCCTTTCTGGCCGTTAAAAAAATTAAATCGGCTGGGTCTATACCAAGATTGTAAATTCCATTCTATTTTAATTAGAATGATTTCTATATCTGTTTCAGTTTAAAAAATAAAATAAATTAAAATAATATTTTTTTAAAATCTTAATTTGTTTTTAGATTATATGTTATTAATTATATATCTCAATCCAATCATTGAATCATGCTAAATTTTAAAGAGGAGTCTTCTTATATATTATTATGTCTCGTGATAAAATTTCAGAGTAATTGAAGTTTAGAAAGACCTTGTAACAATATCACTAATATTTTTATAATTCTATTTAAATTTATAATTTTTTTTTATAAATGTTATTTTACTGTGTTATTTTTTAAGATTAATTTTTTTTATTTCATCATTTAACAATGAATTTATTGGTAATTGAGTTTTATAATTTCATTTATTTTTATATTGTTTAATATTTTCTGTTTGATTTGTTAAAAGTTTGGTTTTTTATTTGTTACACATGTGATTTTTTAACATATCTATCAATAAAATATAATAAAAAGATATAAATCCAAACACGCAACAATTCAACTATCACGATAAAAAAACTAATGGTAGGGTGATGTCATAGAGAGCAATTGATTAGGGAGTTTATTTTAATTCTTTTCTTTATTCTGCACATTATTTTCAATTATTGTTTTTAGACCCAGTTTCATGGTTAGCCTGATTTGAAGTTTGGTTTCGGGTTTTGATCAAGTTATTGGATCATTTAAGTTAATTATTTTTTTAAATTAAAATGATATTATTTTAATTAAAAAATAAAAATTAATGGATTGTAATTGAGTTTTAACCGGATCTAGGTCAACTGAGTCAACCTGTCATGATATAGTGAGTTTTTTTCTTTGTTTTTTATTTAACTTAACCTGTTTCCAGTCCTGAATTAGCTAAATTTCAAGTCAACCAGTGGACATGTTAGATTTTAAAAACTATGTTCTCAAATAAAAAAAGTATTTAGAAAATATAAGAGATTCTTTTCCTCAGTGATTGAGTGTTTTTTTTTAATTATTTACATAATGGCCTAGAATCGGTCTATAAAAGTTATAGGTAAAATGCATTATGCATCATATTGTAGGATCCAAGATACCTTGCTTCCTCGACTCAACTTGATGGGATGGGCCACATGCTCTAATTTGTCCTTCTTGTTAAGACAAAATCTTCATTAAATATAATTACTCCTTTAATCTTATATGAGCGAGACAAAGTAAAACCTGAATGTTAGCTCGCATCCACTGCAATGGAGATAATAAGAAATCAAAGCCCTTTATTAAATAAAGCAAATTTATCACCAAAACCATATAGACCCACAGCAAGTGGATTTCTTTTTACTTATTTTATGCTATAGATTTAGTAGGGTTTTGCTTTCTATAAACCATACAACACTCTCTTTTTCCCTTTTGTAGCAATTATTCATTGCTCTCTGCCACCAAAACCACAAGTTGTCAACTGCAAATACACTTGGTCCCCTCAGAACCACATTTTAAGTTTCTCCTTTCTAGGCATCTTCCTTTGTTTATGTTCATTTCATCTAGCTATAGTGTCATGCCATTGATATTCAAGGGGGGACTATGTCAGCATGGACTCTTACCAGTTGGTATGTGATGGAATGTATCTTGATAATATGTTGAAATTTTGAAAGGGATTTTAGCGTGATGGAAACTTGTCCTGTTTCGTGCTAGAAACTGAGTTGAATGAGTGTCTTTTTTAAAGTTATTGCTTCGCTTTAGTTTTCAGAGATTTTGGCGTCTTGCAAGGCCTATAAGAAACCCCCAGTCTTTCACTACAGATTGTGAGGGAAAGCACAGTTTATTATTCGAACAGTGTTTTCTTTCTTTTTTCTATAAACTTTTACACTTTGATCTCTCAATTTCTTTGCCTTCTTATTTTATCATTCAGAATTGCTATATATTTCTTTTTATATATATATATATATATATATATATATATATATATATATATTCTCATGAGATGTCATGGAAGTATTTTGTAGCTAGGTTTATTCTTAGTTTGGCAAAACACAACTCAATTTAATTGATTTAAAATAATTAAAGTTTAACGAACTAAATTTGAGGTTTAATGAAATATTCAACCCCCTTTTTGTTTTGGCTAACATTAAGCAATGATAAGCATGGTTAAGAGGGAAGTTTATGTTTCTTTTTAATTTTAGCTCCTAAACTTCTTTGTTTTTTTTTTTTAATTTGATTCTTTTGCACTAATTTTATTGGGGATATGACTTAATAATTTGTTTTTGTTGTCTTAATACCAGGATTTTGCATTATTGAGGGAAAATCTCTTATGCGCAATTGATACTTGTTTTTTCAAAATAAAACAAAATTATGATAATTTAAAACATGCAAGTGTTAAGGGATGGAAATAAAAAATAAAATAAATATGGGATATGACATAATGAAACAATGACTTCCGCGATGGTATTTCTAAGTGGTTTGCAGTACTTTTCCTGATAGTTCAACACATGTCAACATAAATGTGATGGCGGGGCTCCGATAATATCTTTTTTGTGTCCTCTCTTTTTTCTTTGGGATTCATGCTGATCTGCTAAAATTGAAAGGTATCTTAACATTTTATTTTATATCAAATTTGATCCTCATCCTTTTGATTGTTATTTATTTTGTTTAAAATTTTTGTTTAATTTTTTTTTTAATTTTATCCCTTAATATTTTATTTTATTTATTTATTTTATATAAAATTTTGGTCTTCATTATTTTTATTGTTGTTTTTTTTTAATCCTTTTCTTATTTGATTTTTTTTTCAATTTTTCCTTTAGCATTTGATTTCAGATTATTTTATGTCAAATTTGATTCTTATTTATTTTATTTTTTATCCTTTTTTAATTAGCTATTTTTTCAATTTCACCCCTTAATATTTTGTTGATTGAAAATTTAGCTTTCTAATTCTTTTTAGGTTTACCTTTTATAAGGCTAGTCCCAAACTTATGACCTAGGTCATGAGTTTTAAAATCCCATAAAATCAAGTGTAGCCGTGTAGAGAAGATTAAAAAATAAAACATTTAAGCTAAGGATCTGGGAGAGGGATTTAGAGAGGGAAAGTAAGGGTTTTAAAGAGGGAATAATAAGAATTCAAAGGAGAAAGAAGGAGAATACTAGTAACCTTAACTAGTTGCATTTTAAAATTCAAAATTTTAAAATTCAAATTATCATTAGGTAAGGTGTTTAAAAGTAGTTTGAGAAGAATTGAAATAGTTTTAAGCAAACTTAAGAGAAAATTTGATTAGGGTTTATAAGAGAAGTCTGGGGAAAAGTTCTTTGAAATTTGACTTTTAGAACTATTTTAGGATGTAATAGGAATGAAATTATATTAAAATAATAAAGAAATTTTGATGGATGGTGAATCTCTGGGGGTTGGCTATTGAGAGACAAAAAGATAGATTTAACACATGTGTGTTATTCTTGTAAATTGTATTGTAATTGTGATAATTGAGAATATGAATAATTATTTTGATGAGTGGTTTTATTTTTATGTGATATATATGGATTTTTGATGTTTTATGAATTTAATGTCTTTATGGAATTGTTGAATTTAAAGTGACTTTTTATTGAGTCTGGGATTAAAGCAAGATGAAATAAAATTTAT